AGAAGCATTTTAGTCTAAAGACATACCAAATATCTTACTTTTTTAAACAGCACTAAACACTTTTTTCAAATCTCTTTTCTTCATCTGCCTCATGCTTATAAATCGGCGGAGGAGCTCGGCAGATATAGAGAACAGATCTGCAGTCAGCCTTAAGAGATATTCGAAATGTTAAAAAAAAATTGGTTGAAGAAGTTGTAGAAGTGTAGACATTTTATTGTCAGTATGGAAGAGAAAAAGGTTCGAAGAAAGTAGATAGTGGGAGTCGGGCTACCGACTTCCAAGTAACAGTATTGGACCTCACTCGCAAAAAGCGTTTTTCTGTGTAACAGACAACTTTTCTAGGATTTTCTTGTATAACACATACGTTTCCTCCGTCCTTCTGCCAATGGGAGGAAGGAGGGACAAACGGTAGACAGCTTAATACCATAATCTCTCAACATAATGTCTTTTTTCATCGCTTCTAACAGTTAGAAACTGCAATATTGTACTTTGCGTTACAGAGCCCATTCGCAAAGCCAGATGTTTCTCGATGCTGGGCAGATCCCTGCTTGCATAACAACTATCAATCAACTTCTTACTGAGTGAGCATTACAACCATACACCCGAAGCCACTCAAGAGTGCACCATGCAAATGGTACCATCGGGGCCCGGCACGTGTTGGCTTTCAGCATTTTTGAAATAAATAAATGACTAAATCACGTTGAATGTTGAAGGAAATGAGCATTATGTAGTTAGGACAAGCACATCACAACAAGAAGCTTCCTGAATCGTTGGAATGCGACGCTGTTGTGAGCATCGCTAAATGCCTCGCATTCGCCGTTGCTTTATATTTACTCTTCACGATTTCGAATAACAAAATTTTTGACTCACAAGGGAACCGTGTCGAGCCGAAGTGGCCTTTCCAGATGAGACCCATACTGCTTTGAAGAGCATTAATTGGTGATTTCAAATCTGCTTTCCAAATCTGCCAAGGGTCTCTGGACGCCAAGTTATGCTCGTTTTTCAGGTCAAAAAATTGAACGTAAAACTGAAGCAAAATCGCCCAAATTTGCTCAAATGGTCCAGTGCCAAGTATCAGAGCTGTTTATGCAATGGATACATTTTATTTAATATGCTAATACTTAACATTGTTTTATCTGAGCGCTGGAAAAATTGTAACAATCAATTTTACCTAAATTCTGCATTCATTTTTCGTCCCGAAGAACGGTCATAACCCGGCGTCCAGAGGCGCTTGGCAGATTTGGAATCACCGCTTAATACTGTTCAAAGCAGTATGGGTCTCATCTGGAAAGGCCACTTCGACTCGACACTGTTCCCTTGTCAGTTTGTGCTATTGCCATATGAATCCATTTTGTGGAGAGTCCCAAGAAGATATTCTATCTCGAAACATTGAATCACTAAGCCTTGATAAGTGCTCCCCCTACTCACTTTGGGGGGACGAGTGGCTTAGTGGTATGAGGAGGTCGGACCAAAGTTCGACTCCGGCCTGGGCTAACCAAGCCCTCTAATTCCGGAGCTGTAAATTGTTACAGAGCAATCTGAGAGGATAAAAGCACTGACTTGGTAACCGTTGGTCCGCGCAAGTCATCGTAAGAGCATTGCACGCATACAGTAGCCTCTTCGACAGTGAAGTAGACTGTGTTTGGCCCATGCCTTCAAAGGGTACTGAAAACGCCGGATCCTATATTATTCACAACCTGTGTGTACTGAGCATTCAATCCGTATACTAAGAGGTCATCTAAAGTAGTGATCCTGCGCCTAAACTCCTTATTCATGAAAGCAATAAAAAATTGCTTTCATCATCTTGCATCAAAGCGTTGCGACGAAGTGTTTGCACTAAAGTGAAGCACTGGCGGTGCTCAAGAAATGCCCTTAAGTAGCTGAATAAGCGAATCTCAAATAATAGTAAATACAGTACTTCATCTGCGTTCATGTAAAATTTTTTATGCTTATGGATGTGCCTCAATTGACGCTTCTGCAAGAGCAACAGAATCAGTTCCTCTCTCAAATGCATCGGAAGAACCCACGTCAGCGCTTGCATTGCTAGTGCACCTAATTTTCGATTTGTTCATTCAGAGGAACTACGAAAACTCCTATTCTTCTGTAAAAAGAAATGCATTAGGTTACCTTCGAAGTAAGGGTACTATTACATATTAGTCGATCCAGAAATTGAAAAACGCGCATTTCGCTAAAACATCGTCCAAGGCATTATTTTGCACGCTGATTACGAATATCACATTTAGTTCACGGTAGTGTCATCCGGTGGAGTTACGGTAGGATTACGGCAGGGAGTCAAAGATCACGGTGGGTATACGCTAGTAGAAATCCGATTGCCTAAAATTTTGCCTAGAGGAACTCCTAAGCATGCTGATCGCGAATATCATGCTCTTCTTGCGTTTTGAAACTTCGCGGAATTACGACAGATCTACGGTAGGTGGGTGGTGACAGATTAGCTCGAACCTTGGTGCAGGGTATCATCTGAAGCGCCATGTATATCGCAATCCTCTCCCACGATAAACCGTCTTCGTGGATTTCTGTGATCTAAACTTGGCTGAAAAGCGGAAAACTTGCTCTTTCACGCACTGTAGCTCGTCGTAATTCTAACAACAAAGCCTTTCAAGGCGAACGAGCATGGTATTTGTAATCAGCATGCTTAACACATTGACGACGGTTTAAGATCCGACTGGCATAATAACGCCTATTGGGACGAACTCACATCAAAAGTTCTCCTTTGCACTGAAGCTAGAAATAACCTCTATCTATTTTGCTACTTTGATAGAGCTGCTGTAGATGTAATACATGACAGCATGCGTAATTTTATCTAAAAGATGTTGGCTGATTCCTAACAGGCCTCGGTTCCAAAAGGCAGACAGCTCAAAGTTTGCATGGTCGTCAATGTGTTAAGAAATCCTTCAGGTAAAATTTTGAGCAAGTTCGCAATTCGCAATCTCGATTTTGATTTTTTGGGTCAACTAATATGAAATAGCGCCAATCTGAGACAGCATTCGTAACTTCACCAATGTTGTGGGTCATCTGAGCATCGCGCAATACGTTTATTTTCTCCAGGCAAAGCTGTAGAAAGAAGCTGACGTGATGATTTCCATCTCACAAATGTTAGAGTTTTTTGCTCAGAAACAGAGAGCTGCACGTTCTGGCTGAGACAGGCGATATTGCACGCAACTCTTGATAGCCATGTGTTTCGTTTCAGTATCCGAATTTCCAGCAAGATACCTTTTTTGCAGTTTTGTCATAACCACTTATACGACATCTTTGTTGTTCACAAAACTGCAGATTTTCGTTCCATCTTGCTCTCCATAAATCACTGTATTCGCCTGCATATCAGAAATTCACGCGTATTAAGGCTATCGCTTTTCTTGCGTTTTCAAAAAAGATCAGTCTTGATTTATAATAGCAAGATGACCTACAATGTTGAACAAACATATATCATCGGTGCTCCTAATTTTTCACACTTAGTCATCTCTCCTTTATCCATGTGAATCCAGGCTAAATCCTATATAACGTAAACCAGATGCAGGTCTCTGCAAAGGCATATCTTAGACATTGCAAATGTTTCAGCCATGTGGCCACAATATGTTAGAAGTGCAGCTCTGACTGCATGTTCATACCTTCTTACACCATCCGAAATGGTTATTTTCTAAATCACTATTGCAGATGTCCAGTCCATTAGTTCCACACGCTGATTTTTGCCAGTGATTACCGTTTGAGATGTCTTATCGTTGAATCAAATGGCTTAATTTCTAATACGTTGAATCCTCGCCTAACAATTTCAGTCACACCTTTTAAGCTTCCTGCTATAGCAATACTTAGTAATCTTTATATATTAAGGAAAATAGGGTTTGGAATTTCGAGATTTGATTTTATCCTGTCGTTTTCTCATCGACCGTCTATTCTGCCAAACAAGCAAGTTTGCTATAGCTCTATATTACCGGCTACGTGTATGAAGTCTGAAAGCTCAATAATCGGAATCGTCATCGAGTTATTTATTATACATTTATTACTAGAACATTTTCTGCGGTAACAGATATTAGCTAAAGGAACATAAGTCTTGTTCCAAAATTTTCAAGAACCCGTGATCTCCTCCAGGTTCAATGAATCCGTTTGAGCTAACATAACTCAAAAAGAGAGAGCCCTATTTTTCTAAATTTCAAAACAAGAATCGCTGTTTTCACATCGCTGCAACAGAACTTTTGAAGGTAAACACTCAAATTACTCTTTTCCAAATTTTGATCCTCGAAAATGCCGAAAGGCGTAGGAAATTTTGATTTTGCTTATTAGGATTTCACAATCTAACCTTTTCTGAACTTGAACTTTTGTGAACTAAATTTGTGCTGGTAGGACGTCTCTGGTAATTTTTGAATTTTTATTTCCGAGTTTCAATAATTTTTGAAACACAATCTATTATTGATCTATTACGTACAGTAAAATACTGCGTTTATCATATCCAATGAATAAAATACTGCGCGGATTAACAAGGTGCTCTGAGAAAAATAAGTTTTATGGGGTTTTTGTGGTAAGACTTAAGTCGTAATCTAAAAACGGTAGCCGGGGGTAACAATAAGAATCAAGCCAGTATTGAGCATACCAAAAGGCTCGTCAAAATGCAAAGAAAAATTTCCTATACTAGTGATACCATTTCACAGTTGCTCCGGTATCTACTTTCGGTAGATCTATATTGGCCCTACATGTTAAATTTACAACGTCAAAGCACTAGTTAAGCCAAGAGAAAAATATCGTGGAAAACAATATTCGGAGTTGTAAATGATGGAAAATTGAAACCAATAGTCAAAGTTATACTTTTTTGCGCAAAAAGATTATCTACAATGGTGAAAAGTTAGCAGTCCCAATCGCAGCTACAGCAAGAATGAATTTCGCACCTGTGTTTCGGCAGATATTTTGAGTTGTATTTTATCAAATAGTTCAATGCCGTTGAACACATTGTTGGAAGAAACTCCATTCCGTTTTCTAAGAAAACTTTACAGATGCTGCCTTTACTAGTAGCATTCCTGCTACCGGCGCTTGCACTTTGCCGCTATGAACCGGAACTCATTGTGGTTACTGTAGCCACCGAGGACACTGATGGCCTGCGACGCCTTCTTAAATCAGCGGAAGAATTCAACATCAAAGTGCAAGTGCTTGGAATGGGCGAAGAGTGGAAAGGTGGAGACACTAGAGTAGCACAGGTACAGTTTTAGTTCCATTGAAGCTCTTGAAGTAAAAATCAAGTCGCTTAAGGGTGGCGGACAAAAGATACGACTACTGCGAGAAGGATTGAAGAAATACAAAAACCGTGAAGATGCGATCATCTTGTTTGTTGATGCGTGAGTTTTATCATCATGGTTTTAATGATTTTCATTAGGTGATAGACTCGTTCCGGCCTAGGATTATGGATATGCGTAGGATTTGGGTAGCTGCTATACAGCTATGTTGTGCGAGGATTCAAGCCTCCATTTCACCCCAGTTATTGAAAGTTTTTCACTGGTATAGCGCATTATGCCCCAAGTTAATGTTCCATAAAATCACCATTGTCAAAGTTTCCTTTCAAGCGGTAGTGGATGCACAAACTAAATGATAATTTGGCGTATGGTGGTCAGGTTTTGGCCAATGAGTAATGAGAACTTTAATGTACAGTCTAGAATTTTCTGTAGCTAGAATTTGAGAATTTGCTCACACTAATGACTGAGGACAATTTTTCAAGGCATTCAAGTCACTTATTGACAATTCAAAATCTAAAACTGCACTAAAATTATGCAGATTGTTCAAGATATTACAACTATATGTAGGTACTAATTCACTCTATGAATGGTATCATTATGCTCTACGGAACTTAGCTTCCTTGGTAAAAGTCACAGTATTTACTCTTGTGCTACTTTGTTAGCAAAAAACTCTATAAAACATCTACTTCTGATTCTCTGAGAGGTACTTTCCGGTGATGCGAAGCATTCATAGGGAATTTCGTCCTTATCTGTAGAAATCTCTAGGAATGGGCGACTTATCCGACTTGAGAGAAATCAAGATTTGTGGTTGTAGCGGGATTTGGAGCGAATGTTTCTGCACCTTCCCCGTAGGCATACCTCCGCTTTTAGTATGTTTTTCTTTGCGCAGCACATCCTAGATTCACCGAAGGCTATGGTGCAATGCCCTCTCCGAGATATTTTATGTCACTGAAGAGATACTGGCATAATTGTGAGTTTTTTTTAGGAAGTCTGACTCCTTCATCCGGTTTCTCCTTTTATGAATTTCCAAAGTTCCACTGTTTCGCCAGCTTTTCTTCGGATACCCCCTTGTCCAGCAAAAACCCATTTGACTATTACGAACTAGCTGGCATAATCGGCTCCGCCGGGCTCTGTCAAAACACTATGATAGAGGTATCGCCCATATCCCTGCATAACCTTTCATTCTGCCCACTTCTACATGCCACCCTATCTCCGTTTTGTTTTTTTCATCATGCCTACTTACACCCCCCTCCCTGTGCTAACTCCCGCCCCGCAGCTCAAACTTTGCATTAAATCGTTGAAATTGATGAAAGTAATGCATAATACCAAAAATTAACATTGCATTCGTAATCAGCATGGTCACTTACCTCATGTGCCAATTCGCGCCCCCGTAGCCTAAACTTTGAAGAACTCAAAAAACTGATAAAATTGATATCGATCGATAACGAAAATTAGCCTACGGCACCCGCCTCGCCCCAGTGGGTATGTGTGTAAAGCTTGGTCCAAATCCGTTCAGATACAAAAATTTCTATTCCGCACATATCTACATACAGACAAACATACAACACTCAGCTTTATGTGTAAGGTACGTGAGTCATTTGAATGAACGGCGCCAAAAAGCGGCGGCGGCGCTTTGGAAAAAGTACTGACGAGTGGTGTGTGGCTTTGGCCGTGGCTAAGAAAGCGCCAGATGTGCCTGTGTAGGGAAATAAAAGAAAAACAGGAACAAACGAGAGAAAACTAGAAAATCATTGTGAAATTGCTAAGTTAGCCTTCAGATACGTCCGCCAGAAGCTTCGTTTCAATTCGAGACGAGCATTAGGATAGAGATTGTCCTTTATATTAGCCAAGCGCTCTTCATGACTTCCATAAAGTAATCTTTGCAAGGGTTGTCCTTCTGCAATGCAGCAAGTTGAAATTAAAAATTCATCGAGAAAAGATCAGGCTTATCTACAAGACTGTGAAGTATAATAAATGAATATATTAGGTTGTCCCGAAAGTTCTGTCGGTTTCTTTCAACGCTCATTAAAAGTTACAGAACACCAATCCATGGACGGCTTAGGTGCCGTTTGAATCAGATTTTTATCCTCTTTCTCATAGCTACTTTTTCTCTGTGATTTATGCAGTCTTTGCGATGTTATTGCCATGAACCATTGATCAGCTTGACAGCAAGGCCAAATATTTCCTGAATTTTAAAATTCTTTATTCTGATGTTTCCAAAGAGCGCTGATAACTGTTATGTAGAGCAGACCTTTGGCTACATTGTTACCATTTTAGATTACGTGGGCCGCGTTTACCAAGTCCGTTATAATTATTTATTCAATAAAAACCGCGGCTTTATGAATAAGTCTAACATGTAAAAGTACCAAAAATTCTAAAAAGCTGCTTTTCAAACCGACTTAAAGTTGGTTATGTTGCATAAATAATGTTTAGTAAGAATTATGTTCCAATACGCAAAAATTCAAAAGCTTTCGTGTGTTTGATGCAGTTGCATGTTTCATGACTTTGCCAAAAATTGAGGCCTCCGGAGAAATAAATTTTTGAAGCTAAAGACAGCAGATTAGGCGAATCTAGAAACACTATCTTGTAGTTCGAGAACTGCTCTATTTGATCCATACTTAACCCTTCTCGAAACTTTGGAATGAAATTTGTAAAAATTAGCCTAACTTTGAGCAGGTAAAATTGACGAGTGGAGAATTTTGGCAATTATCAAAAAAAGCATACAAGATTGTGGTATGAAAACGTAACCATAAGAAAGAGAAGGAAATGCTGCATAGAATGCATTTTGAAACACACTCAGGTCTTTATTGCGCGTGGTTTTACAGTGGTTTGAAAAAACCGACAAAATTTTCGGGACAACCTAATACATTTTTCACCTATGACAGTATAGAGTCTCTTCTATTTTAGAACAATTTTAGAAAATGGTCGAAATTACTATAAAATGTAAACTAAAGGATAAATGTATATTTTCAGTTACGATGTAGTATTCGCGGCCGGACCACTGACAATTCTCGAACGTTTCGAGACGCATTTCCCAGGTAAAAGAATTTTGTTCGGTGCAGAGAGTTATTGCTGGCCAGACGAATCATTGGCTGTGGACTATCCACTCGTCGGATTCGGTAAAAGGTCCCATGTCATTATAGAGTGATTCTTGCTTGTCCCTGAAGAACTATTGAAATTTTAGATTTCTCAACTCCGGCCTTTTCCTTGGTTATGCTAAAGACTTTTATAAGATGATCACTCTAAGAGAAGTGAAAGACGATGAGGATGATCAGCTCTACTATACGAAGATCTATCTAGATGAGGATTTGAGAGTTGGTCACGTAGGAACTTCCAAAATTCTCCGTAAAACTGTGAGAAATTTCTAGGATGAACTCCAAATTGGACTTGACTCAGCGTCTCGCATTTTCCAAAATCTCAACGGGGTAACCGACGATGTCGAAATTCAGTTCGATGAGGACACTGGAGAAGCACTGGTCTGTCCTTTAATTGTTCTGTACGAAAAAAGGAAATAATTATTTTATTTTCGGCCCACAACGCTGCTTTCAATACCCATCCTGCAATTCTGCACGGCAACGGACCAAGCAAGAACCATCTGAATTATTTGGCAAATTATGTTCCTGGACGATACTCTGCTATCACCGGCTGCACATTCTGCGGAAAGAAGCACAAACTTGATCTATCAGTAGGAATTTCACTTTCTCAAAAATTTTGGGAAATGAAGACATCAGTAATCTTCATTAAAAGAAATGTATTTTGCAAAAAAAGTTTTACTGGAACTAGTTGAACATTTAGAGAAGGGTAACTTAGACGTGCGATGCTAGGCGCGTTCGGTACTTAAGGTCATTGATTTTTTTGAATTCAAATTTAAACCTCCTAACATCCTAGAACGCAGACATAATTTTTATCGGTTTTACTAATCCATCGTCTGTTCATTGACAACTCCCTTCCTCACAGGCACAATTACTAATTTTTGGGTATAATTCAGTTAAAAAGGGTAAATTTTGGAACCTTGTGTAACTCCTTTTCAGACAATGCAAGCTTTAGGCCTAAGGCCTATCTCACGCGATTCGGCCGAATCGCCACTTTCACGGGACTTGGCGATTTGCCAGATTTCTACAAATTTATTCGCGCGCGCTTCTCGGATGCATATTTGGGTAGCTTGTGTAAGTTGTTGCAAATGGAGCAAGTTCTGACCAAAGACAGCGCATTAACGACGAATTACGAAGTGTCGCTGTTGTGCCAAATCGCGCAGCGACCGGAATCGCGCGAGGTATGCCTTAGGCCTTATGCTTTACCTTATCTATTACAATTATAGCTCTCACAGTTTCCTCTGTGTAAACATTTCAGATACCTTACCGTTGGGATGTTATTTTCAGAGCAAGGAAACATCTGAATTTCCGCTAATTGCCGTATCCATCTTTATTGCTAAACCAATACCATTCATCGAAGAGGTTTGTGGTGGAGCCAGATTCTGTTCTACAGTAGTCGTGAACTGAACATTCTAGATGCTCGAAGCGTTCGCTAAATTGGACTATCCGAAGAAAAAGATAGTGCTGTACATCTTCAACTCGCAACCTTTCGTCATCAAAACGGTTCGATTGGATTTAATTGTACAAAAGCAGAGAAAAATCGACCATATAGGTCATGAACTTCTTATCCAAACATGGTGCCGAATATTACTCGAAAAAGATTGTGAATGGTGTGACAGAAACTGGTGACCGAGAAGCAAGACAGGAAGCATTGTGAGTGCTTTGAATTTCTGCTCGATTTCTTGGGGTCATAAGCTAGCAATGTGTTGCTTGTAGAACATTCGCTTCACGCTTCGATAGCGAGTTCCTGTTCATGCTCGATGGAGATGTAATGTTCACAAATGAAAGAGCTTTACAAATCTTGATAGAAGCGTCAGTGAACTATGAACTGTGAGTTCTTATTCTAATAGCAAGTTCGCTTACTCTGTGGAGGCAAGGTCAGTAAGATTTCATAATAATGAATACAATTATGATATGCACAGCCACTCACAAAGCACTCACAATGTGAACCACTCACAAAGCTTAGAAAACTCATAAAAGATTGTCTAATGGATACGAAAACACAGCTGCAAAACTCTCCAGACTTTTTTGGAACTTCTTCTTGGCTAGCCTCTTCCACAATGCTGAAAGTTTTTACCGTAATCCCATAGCGATAATGAGCGATGAGTGCTCACTCCATACTGTGCATCTAAAACAAAAGAATTCGTGGGAAGAGACTTGTCAACCACAAAAGTGTGTACTTACTTTTGGATACCCTGTATTTAGAAATCTGTAATCTGCAGAAAACTCTTCTTAGTATACCCTCACTTCAGAGGCATTGTCGCACCACTAGTTGGCCAGCCAAACAAAATGTTCACCAACTTCTGGGGTGCACTCAATTCGAATGGTTATTATCGACGCAGCGAGGATTATATGGACATCGTTCAGCATAAGCGATCTGGCATCTGGAATGTAAGCAATTTCTTTGAATTTCATTACTTGGGACCCATACTATGATTTTCAAGGTACCATTTATCAACGCTGCTGTCCTTATCAACAGAGAAAAGATGAAAGCATTGAAAACGCCGTTTTATTACGAGAAAAACCTTGACGCTGATATGTCATTCTGCAAATGGGCTAGAGATCATGTAAGTGGCCCCGATATTGGTATCAGTGGCGTACCCAGGACTCCCGTTCGGCGGGGGGGGGGGGGGGGGAACGGGGGTGTGCGGCAAAAAAATTCTTCGTGAAGGTAGGCGGCTTTAGCCACGCTCCGAATTTTTTTTGGTCTTCCAAAATTTTTGCGGGCCCATAGCCTCGTAATTCCAGGAAAATAGGACGTGGCGGCAGTCACACCCTCAAAATTTTTTTACACGGCTAATTTCAATTTTCAAAATTTTCAACAAGCCATTATAATTATTTACGAGAAAAAAGAGTCGCCTGCACAATATAGCACGTGTAAGTAACTTTCAAAAATTTCTTGACCCATTCTCAGGGGAGGGGAATGGCCCCTCCCCCTTGTTACGCCACTGATCTAATGCTTTATAAACAAATGTAATTGAATCAAATAAGTGACGTTTAGGGCCACTTTATGTATGTTGACAACGAATATTACTTCGGTTTCCTTATTGTCAGCGACGAATTTGCCGAAACGCTACAGAAAGGAAAGTTGCATCCAGAAATGTGGGAACTATTTGAGAATCGCGAGGTTTGGCTAACTTATAAAGGCTTACAATCAGGAAAATATAGGTACATCGTATAGATTTGGGAGTCGCGCTACTTGCACAAGGACTACAGCAAATTGCTCGAGGAAGACTTTGAAATTACTCAGGCCTGCCCCGATGTGTATCATTTTCCTTTGGTTACGGAACGATTCTGTAAGGAAATGATCGAAGAGATGGAGCATTATGGAAAATGGAGCGACGGAAGCAATAATGTACTTCAGCTACTAGAAGATTATCACAACGATTTAATAGCTATCGTTTAGGATCCCCGCTTAGCTGGAGGGTATGAAAATGTTCCAACAAGAGATATTCACATGAATCAGGTGTCAATTTTTTTTAACCAAAGAAAAGTCCTTTGTAACCAAAAAATCCAGAACTTTGTGTGTTCTGTATCGGTACTGTTCCCATTACAGATCGACTATGAGAGGCATTGGCTATTTTTCCTTGATGAATATGTACGACCGATACAGGAAAAAGTTTACATTGGTTATTATCATAGAGTGAGTTAGTCTACTTATATTGATAAAATTGGCGTAGATTGATCCAAATGCAAATTACAATGTTGCACAGCCATCGTAGCAAAGTCAGTCAATGTTAGAAATACTTAGAAATACTTTGTCACTAAATAATGAAAAAAAACTGCATCGAGTTTCAACAAGTAGAACTCTTGCATACAGATATGAACACTAGGTTTCAATGTGATTGATTGTCTTGACCTATCATATTATGGGACGCTAAAATGGGAAGATGCATACTTCCCATTTCAATTTTTAGATCTGTGTTCTCCACTATCTCCAGATTATACAACAACATTTACTGAACAACTACGTTCTGGTGTAGAACAATATCCATGTAGGAAAAAAATTCATGCTGAGAGCTAAACGGCAGGTTGTCTGGCTGTAATTAGTCAGGGTTACGGTAGATATATTCGAGGCAGAAGTAAGTATACGCTGCTGCATGACGAAGGCGCATGCCTTTGGACGCGAACGCGGCTTTATTAACCGCAGAGCGCGTGAGGCGCAGGATTTACAAGAGGATACGCGCGCGTCGCGTTCGCGCCGGCTCATTTAATACTTCTTTCGCGCCTTCGTCATGCAGTAGCCTTTACGTAGTCGTTGTCATTTCGAAGGTTCGCCAATCAGGCTCTAAATGTGCGGTACTCCGACAAATTACATTAGCATACTCCAAGAAATTAGGTTTGACTGATGACTGAGTACAAGCTTTTTTCCCAAGCTTTTTCTTCTCAGAATATTCATTCATTCTGCGAAAATTACAGCAGTGTGACTGACATGCGTCGCGGGTGCGAGCGGTCGCTTTTCAGCTGCCATCCCGTTCAAAGGTTACCTAGGGCTCCCTTTTCCGCTGACTGCGAATTTCAGTTTCGAGAGCACGAAGTTGTCAAGAAACAGGCTTTTTTCGAAGCCCTTGACTTCAAACCTGCGCTGAGTCCGTCAAGTTTAGGACTCGGAGTCACTGCTCCAGGGCTCGGCACAGGTGGCTTATAAGCAAACTGCGTATCGTTTTTAAGACAAAAAGCGAAGGGGATATCGTTTTTGTGGTCGAAAAAACACAACTTGGATTAGTTGTATTTTTCCGGCCACAAGTGTTACTTTGTTAGGACGTTTCATTTTTTGGGTTTTTAACGTTTAGGGTTTAGGGTCAAAGGGGACTTCGTGGAATTTTGTGGAAGTGAAGGGGACTTCTTTTTTGCATCAACGGAAGCTACCTCGTGTCGATCCCTGTTGCTGCCCGCTCTTCAAACCCGCGGTAATAACTGATATGACCACATCTAAACATTCTCGCTTGCAAAGACAATGAGTGGGCGGGCGCAGAAGAGCGGTCCAAAGGAGGCTCTACTCTTAGCATCTAAAGCGGTTTTCTCGTTTCAGAGTATTCTTGCGATGGCACTCAGGCTAAAGCCCATCAAGAGGGCGCTATCGCAATCTATGTTTCTCTCATTATCGTCATATCTTCAGGAATTCTGCCTTCAACGCGGGAATGCTCACATTCAAAACTCATCTCACAACTTGAATAAGCTGCATATATCATACTACCATGTATGATACAGTGCTGGCCAAAACTATACTTCCACCCTGAAAACTGCCGTAACTCATCTGCTTCTCAACGAATTGATCTGAAATTTGGTACAGCTGTGTGTTTAACAGGCTACCATCAGCACCTAGAACGGACCCCGTTTTTGTTTGTTTATTCAGGAAAGAATCAGAAATTTCGAAAAAAGCAGGCTTGAATATTGGCCAAAACTATACTTCCACTTAAAGTTTCTGTCCACTAAGGTAATTCTCCGCTTCCAAAATCTTTTGTGCATATACATAGTCAAAAGTCAAAACAGTCGCTTTAGTCCAGATGTCTCATACCTTTATAAGAAACGCTATTCTGTTTTTTTTCGCTTAAAAATACTTTCACAAATATTTTGTTAACGAGAATGTGTTTTTATGGGTAATTTCGCAGTTTCTTGACTGGATTGGAAGCGGTAGGGCTCCATCTATCTTATAGATGCTTAGAGAAGTGAGGACTAGAAAAAAATTTGAGTTTTTATATTTAAAGGGCACCCAACATAGACCTAAGCGCAGGCCTGCGCTCAAATTTTTGCCTTCAAAGTTGGTTTATGTTATTTTTGTAAGCTCTACATGATGTAGAAGGATTATTTACATGAAAAGAAGTTTGTACACTATACTCACGACTGTTCGCCAAGTCGCATTTTGCTTCGTTTTCAAAGCATAAATCTTTGCGGTTCAATGATAATAATTAGGCAATCCCAAAGTACTTACCAAGTATATCTTTTCCTATTTTTGCCACTATTTAGTTGCTAGATAGAGAAAACACTCTGTGTTGTATGTTACCTTGTGACTCACGTGAACATTACTGTCAGAACCAAAAATAAATTCAAGGCTTTTTGCAAATCAGTTTTTGCAGGTTGATTTCCTCAATTAGCCTGCATGCCAGGACCTGCGGAAATCTGCAACCACTGCATTCGGACTCTCACACATACAACAATGTTAGTACTCTACCTCACGCTCATGAGGATATTGCAGGAGGAGCTTGAAGACAAAAATTTGAGCGCAGGCCTGCGCTTAGGTCTATGTTGGGTGCCCTTTAAATATAAAAACTCAAATTTTTTTCTAGTCCTCACTTCCCTAAGCATCTATAAGATAGATGGAGCCCTACCGCTTCCAATCCAGTCAAGAAACTGCGAAATTACCCATAAAAACACATTCTCGTTAACAAAATATTTGTGAAAGTATTTTTAAGCGAAAAAAAAAGCAGAATAGCGTTTCTTATAAAGGTATGAGACATCTGGACTAAAGCGACTGTTTTGACTTTTGACTATGTATATGCACAAAAGATTTTGGAAGCGGAGAATTACCTTAGTGGACAGAAACCTTGAGTGGAAGTATAGTTTTGGCCAATATTCAAGCCTGCTTTTTTCGAAATTTCTGATTCTTTCCTGAATAAACAAACAAAAACGGGATCCGTTCTAGGTGCTGATGGTAGCCTGTTAAACACACAGCTGTACCAAATTTCAGATCAATTCGTTGAGAAGCAGATGAGTTACGGCAGTTTTCAAGGTGGAAGTATAGTTTTGGCCAGCACTGTATAAGCTGTATGTATCATACTCCTCCTGAGACGATGATCCTAATTTATGGCTATTTTCTTCAAAGCGACTATCTGTAAGGAAAAAAGTGTTTGAATATAAGAGTTTATTTGAACTAGTGAACAAAGTTCGTTAAAGGCTGAGATTCACATTAAAAGAGATTCTATTCACACTTATTTTATTATGAGATTATGAGTACTCTGATCTATCTAATATATAAAGAATCGTAAGCGCAATTCAAAATGTGCACATAGCGGGAAACCACGTGGCGGTCCCGTAGCGCGCGCATGCTACCAGCACCTTCAATTGCTGGTTCACTAGTCAAAGGAAAGAACAGACCGTTTATATACTACCTAAATAAGTTTTACACACAGAATTCCTTCCAGAGTTGCTTACGATAATGAACATATTGTGATCAGTGTAAGAAGAGGCGATAATATGTAGTCTGTTTGGAATAGGTGGGTGTTATGACAGTTTTCTTGTGAGCTATCAGATGAGCTCTTGCAGTGCATTTTATACTTATACCGACAGTGAAAATGACTGAAAAGCAATGTGCTGTGTATTTCATTTTTATCTGTTCAAATTTGATAGAAGGATATCCAGCAGTTTTCAGCCAGTGTATGCCCACATGCTCTTCGTTGTTCGATATCGTCCTGATGAACAGCCATCATTACGAGCCCATCACGACGCCAGTACATTCAGGTAGGCGCGTACTTGTCCTCGGCGAGTCGTTTCACGCATATGCACCTTTGGAACCATATATCATAGGAAAAAGAAAGCGCAAAGATAACAAGAACCGTTGATAAAAACTTTTGAAGTAGCAGTACAGGAATAGGTCTCGAGTTGGGGTCAGTTTCTTTAAAAAGCCCTGCTCGCAATTCCAGTATCAAGCGCTTCAAGTTACCCATTTAATAGAACAAGCAGCAAGCCAGTCAAATGAGAGCAACGATGCGGTCTTATATGCCGTAACGACGAAAGGGAGCGTATTCTGGAGTTTATCATCTCACGACGTGGTATACATAGCATTTATTCAGAATGCTGCTACAATCATTAGTATTTTGTCACGTATACTACTGTAGGCAGTGAATCGCAAGTAAACATTCAGACAGTGCCAGAGTGAGCTGAAGTATGTGAAGGACAGAAGTCGTTCTCGCAAAAACTGCGTACATAAGCACAGAACACTGAGACGAAACGCGCATACCAGTCACTAGGCGGAGATGAGCAGTGATGGAGATAGGATCAAATGGTGGATTCTGGAAGGGATCCGGACAAGTTTAAAGTCGCTTGGCTAAACGGCTTGTCTCCAGATGGTAGAGTTCAAGAGGATGCTGAGCGAGTGGAACAAGCACAACGATACCGATGCGAGACAGGAAAGAGAACTTAGCTGATTGCTCTTTGTAATAGCGCAAACTTCTCATGGGCTGCAGGCTGGACATCGATAGCAGAAATTTGAACGAGACTTCAAAGCATCGTAAAACTGCCAGTGCGAACTCGAATAGGGCTTTACCACAATATGCGTCACTCACACCGCCGAATATGACAGAGGGAACAAGCAACGTGAACTTTACAATGCAATCCTAGATCTGGAGAAGGCGTTTGACGAAGTATTGCATAACATATTTGTGATAAGCCGATACTGGAGGAATAGGTCTAGTCCTTCACAATTTACAAAGATGCCACCAGCCAATTATAGAAAGTGAGCCAAGACCATTGAAGAATTTCAACTAAAAGGCGGCGTACAAAATGGTCGTACTACGCCACTCCTCTTCATTACAATAAGGATATTCGAGAACTTCTCGCGGCGACTGCCATGCTCTCATGTATGCAGGTTATGTAATCCTTTGGCAAGAAGCAAAAAAGGGCTTTAGTTGCATATGTAGAATTTTGAAGACCAAAAACTTATATGGACTTTAGCTGTACACGACAAATCAGGACTTTCACGGCTCAAGAACTCAGACACCTGGGAGCATCCAATCGGTGGCATGTACTCAAAAAGCCACGTCATCTGAGTATCTGACAATGAGAATCCTATTACCGCAGCTGGCAGTCTTCGCACTTAAAAGTATTACTGTGAATGGAGCTTGAATGTATTGGAGAGCTAACACGCAAGTCTTATATGTTAAATGGACGTCACGAAATTTCTTTTTATATACCGCGTAGTGACGACTTATGGCGCCATATGAGAGCGGATGCTGGCCGAGGGGAGAAAAAAATTAGTGTATGGAGACAAAATGCTGAGATGGCTCTTGAAGATACCATGCTTGACCATTTCTAAACGACATCATTAGTCAGCTTCAACTCGGTTTAGGCAGAAATTGGACTGGCGGGAGTTCGCTCCGCAACGATTCGCGCCGTTTTGCAGTCTGCGTCTCCTCAATCTAATCTGTCTCGAGCGCCAGTGGCGGTGCGGACGCGTTGCTATGTTTGCCTACTCCGGGTTGAAAAAGGCTGTAGAAGATCACGCATAAGGTTCGAGAAAAAATCCAGAAGGAAGACTTGAGTTGCATGATTGGATTAGGTCAGAAAGAACTCAAGTAACGGCGGAACAGCTAGGTTCGAAACGAGAAAAACAGGGAAGAGGAAGACTAACAAGAGCGGCAGGCCGCGCATAACAAGAAATCGCAAATAGAAAATACAATACTCAGATTCAAGAAAATATTGTTGAATTAATCTACTTGTAAGAAGTTTGCGTTGAAACTTGCAAAATGGAAGTTTAAAGACGACATTGCTTGAAATCTAAAGAATTCTCAAGTCACAAAATGAGAACCGAAATAATTGATATGTTTCTCGCTTTCGCTGTTGAGCTGCAGTCCAATTTTGGAAAATTTTTGAAGTGTCCAAACACATACAACAGCCCAAATTTCATTTTGTGATTTTATATGTGCCACATAATGCTTTTGGTTGGGCGTTTCAGTGTTGACATTGCTCTCAACAAAAGAGGTGTTGATTATGAAGGAGGTGGCGTTCATTATACACGATACAACTGCACTGCTCCAGCTGATCTTGTCGGCAAGTTCTAACATGTCATGTTCTCTTTTTCATCTTGCTGATTCGTATGTGTTTAGGATACGCAGCAATGTTTCCTGGCAGGTTGACGCACCTCCATGAAGGACTTCCGGTATCGAGGGGAACGCGATATATTCTTGTCTCCTTTGTGAATCCATAATTGACTTTGCATACATTGTTTAAAATCTCAAAGCTTTAAAAAGTTCTGATGTATAATTAACTTCGAGTCGTCATTTGCTCCTTCTGATCGAATTGATCGTCTCATAACAAAATGTTGATTTTCAGATGCGAATTTTTTGTTGCTTTACATTCTTGCGAGAATGGTTGATCTTGAGTTGTTATCTTTATGCGCTTGTAACATTGTATTCAATGGTTGCCGTGGCATGTGCCTTCACCTTTGAAATAGAGGAAATATCTTATTGTGGAGTACAGGATGCGTAAATACAGGATGCTAAAAAGTCCGGAGCTTAGTACTTTTCCCAATCAAAACGGAAAGGAAGCTACAGAATCAACAGTTGCGTACATACTAACTAAATAATTATAATTGCAGCATAGCACTCAATTTCATAAACCTCTTTTGACATTAACCTAAGCCCTGAAGCTTGGCGAATGCACCTGTTGTAGCACGAGTAGTCGTACTAAAGTACTTTCACTCTTTTACGAAATCATTCAAAATGTCCGACATAATAGAGAAAGCTTCCTGCAAATCAGCGAATTATAGAACTCAAATGCAGTTATGTGGAAGCCGCATAAAAGTTTGGGTACATTTCACGAGGGAAACGAAGATTTCACGTCTAGAAAGGTGCCATGACTGTTTTAACAGTCAAATACATATCACAAGCAAAAGACTAGTCGAAGGGGTTCACAACATGCGATGCAAAAGGATGATGTTTTAAAGCACTGATAACAAATTTGTGGATCTCAATTGATCTCTTCTCCCGCGGAAGTACGCGATCGTTTTTTCAGGATGGCGACCCACTTTAGGTAAATGGCGGCGAGAATGCACATAGATCTGGCGGGCAAGTGGATAAATAAATGATTGATCTTCAAAGTAAACGGTCAATAGTTCGGATTTTGCTTCTACACTACGTTTCAATACTTTTGCAGTGTTTATGTATCTCGACGCTTGATAAAAATAATTCTCCCATCAGCTTGAACCAAAATTCGAATATAATGGAAGATTTGCATAAAAATTTGATTTGAAAATTTTTGCAAGGTGCATAGATATGAAACAGAAGTTCATAATTCAACAAACAACCACGTCTATAAAAACTCAAGGTTGCATCATTTATAGTGCCCTCCTGATGTGTGTCAGCGAACCCAGGGTGAAAGCTAGCTAATAGATGAAGTCTTACCTCAGTAGAGAGCAAGATTCTGACTGGAAATGGTAAGATAAATGTCTGCCAACCATGTTCGAATAAGATTTCCCCCAAGCGAAGAAAAACCGGGGTAGTGGTAGATTAGACTATAATGAGGTAATGCGATGTAGATAAAATTATTTGATGAATTGACGGGCTGATGGTATTGAAAGCATGATTAGGTTACTAAAAGAAGCAGAAAAGCAAGTAGCGGTCTACCTTTATATTGGCCATTCAAGCGTAAAAGATAGAGCATGGCGTCAAACAAGAAAAACGACGAAGTACGGCATAAACAACAAGGATGGCACATCTGTACACGACGCTTTTGGGCTAGCAGATAGTGATACTGGGGGAGTGGGAGGTATTGTGAAGCAGGTGGATGTTTTATCTAAAAATCACAGATATCGAAAAGCTGAAGAACATCTACGTTTTGCGATGTTTTCGAAGAATGGAATTTTCGGGAGATGAGTAAAAGGGCAACCATGGTAAGGTAACAAAGTTTTTTCCAGTTGCCTTCAAAATCATACGATTTTCGCTCTATACTGATGACTTCGGGTAAGATCGTAAGTTTCGTCTTGTTCATGTATATTGGAAAGAAAGAAGAATTAAAATTCATTAAAATTTGTTGTCAATCTTCAATACTTTCTGCCATGCGCAAAGTAATCACTTAGTTGAAATTCTAAGGTTCGCCACGTCCATGGCGTGAACGAGCACCCGTGGAAGGCAAGAGCTCAGCCTAATGATTCTGCTCATATAGGAGAAAAAACTATTACTTTTTTAGCAACTAGATACAAGAAAATTTGCACATTGTATTTTAAGCTGGGTGGTAACGATGTATGAGTAGTCGCGAAAACAGAAGTTGTTTCTTGCTTTGAAGCGTTAACACACTCGGCAGCATTGCGAATGGGTGCCAAGTTTGAATTTTTGGATTCAAATTTGAATCCATATTTTTGGCATGTGAAATGTGGAGTTGATAACCAAGACTTACTTCACACAGCGCAACGAAAAACTGGAAAATGACAGCCATCCGCGGACCAGAGACAGCGGCGCGGCATCCAATGTCCCGCCATCCGAGGGCTGGGTGGAGGTGCCCTATATGGCCCTCCCCAACAAAAGCAGGCACCTTATTCAAGGGCCTGTGGGTGTGCGCGGCGGGACCCAAACGCATAATTTCCTAGTACTTCAATCTTACGTCTGCTCTTGCTTGTGGACTATGGAATTAGATTTCCAAAAATAACGAATTCCGAATCAGTCTATCTTAAGTCCATTTCCCTACACACTGTGAGAGTCGGAATCGGATAAGGCCCCGGACAGTTCACGCGATTCGATCGCCGCGATTTTCATTCATCCTCTTACATTCAAAAATTTCGAGCTGGAAAAGTATCACAACCGAAATGAAAGCTATCGGCATGCAGTGAACTAACAGTTGTCTTTTAGCGATTGAATCGCGACGATCAAATCGTGTGTTCTGTCCGGGGCCTAAGATAATTGTTTTCGCCGGATTGTATATCCTGTCGAAAACTCAAGCGCAAGGAAGACATGTTAAAGTAATGTGGATATTGAGGAGGCTAATCAAGCTAGTCATTCGCGAAAACTAGGAGTATTTTCATAGGTGGTTCTGGTGCATGCATATTTGCAAAACTTTTGCTATTTACGTTATCGATTATAGAATTGACTGAGCTTTTCATGTTTTCGCATTACAAAAACGAGCAATATTACAATGAAAAGTCACTACTTACTAAATTATGCTATTTTCGAGCCTGGTCTGCTTTTGATGGGCCAGATTTATGTCATCAAAGCAAATAGGTGTGACTATACCTTCCGCTATCAAGTGTTTCCACACTCATTTTTGTACTTCAGTAAGTTTTTATGCACAAAAAAGCAGTTACGAAGATGCTGAGATATTATTATGAGCAAATATGGAAAACGTGGGCTTGTAGGATTTGAAAAGCATAGGTTCTGGTGAAACGATTGTTCCTCGGGCTGCGTGTTGCGCCAGATAGTTGCGTACATGTTCAGTCTTTTTATACGGGCCTGCAGGATCGCAAGAGTCGGACGTGCGTACGGCCATTGCGCCGCGCACGTCAGATGTGCGTCCGGCGACTCAGGTAGGTGCCGGACTTATCTTGTTGAACAGGTTCATTCGGTTCACCACCTTTGCTGTTGAACAGTGTAGTGATTTGACCTATGAACCGAACGAAGCGGCTGAAGCGGATCTGGCACCTGCCTTAGTGACATTAGACGTGCGCGGCGCAATGGCCGTCCGCACGTCCGACTCTCGCGATCCTGCAGGCCCCTATACCGTTGAACCAACTCGAAACAATTTTGTTAAAGATCAAAAACCACGAAAATGCAAATAATAACTACTAGCTGGCCACCCTGCTACGCCCAGGCTACTTCTTTGAATTCAGCGATTTATAATGTTCAAATAGCTTTACCTGCTATGATCTCTATGACCTATACACAAAATGTTTTGGTTTGCAAACTCCATGTTAATCTAAATTTGGTGTTTTGACAGTCATTTTTGAAAGAAGTAACTCAGACCTATAGATAAAATCACATGAAGATTTAGTAGTATGAATGGGATAAGGGTACAGATCATATTGCGAAAATACAGTGTACTCCAATCGGGATAGGCCGAACCGTCGGCGTAGATTTGCGCGCTCGCAGCGACAAGCGTTTGCGATGCATATGCGCGCTGTCGGAGAGAGCAAAAGGATTGGAGAGAGAGTAGAGAAGCAAGCGTGGGCGTGACCGCAAAACCCTAGCGACGCGGACTCAGGCCATGCCAGTTTTGGCCTGGTTAGGATTGGGGCAGACACAACACTTCCATCTATTCTTGCTACTTTGACATTTCGGGATTTCCTGAAAAGGCTTGCTCATTTTAGTTGACAGGTTTGCTTCCCACAGATGTACTCGTAAGCGTAGTGGGATGGGAGTGATAAAGCATATCACTCACGATAAGAGCATTTTCATTGTGCCTCCTCTGATCGGTTGCTTTCTATCTATCTCCAATGCCCTTATCACCGGAAGTGCAAATGCCTCCATTTTCTGGCATTTTGCTCCACTTAGATTTTGTTTCCTTGTATCTACTATAGTTCAAGGATCCTTCAAAACTTGCACGTATTACAACAAAAACCGCTACTCTAATCATATAATCGAATATGTTTTATGGAGAATTGTCACTAATGCTGTTGTTTTTGACGCCATAGTTTAGATCGCAGTAGATCCAATTGACATACAAGGCTTATCGATTGCAGTGTCGGGTGTGCACCAGCATCTCCGCTCCCACGCGCGGGACTCTGCACCTTTTCCGCAACATGTCTGCACTTCTTCCACGAACTTCGACTGAGGCTCCGCCTTTCCTACGCTAGCGGAAAAGTGATCAGAGAGCATGTTCGCTAGAGAGGCACAGAGTCAAGATGAGGCCACCGCGCGGAAGCGGAAAACTGGTGTGCCCGACACTGCAGTTGATAGACCCCATATACGGCGAAATAGTAGTGACTTTTGAGAAATGGCGCCCATGATGTTGCGGAAGGATCCTACGCACCTCAGCGTAAGCGCATACATCATTCTTAAAGATATAAGAGAACATACTTGAGGTGCTCTTCTTGTCATTGCGCTTTGCATGCAAAACTCAAATGGGAAGTACCGCTACTGTTCACTTTCACTTAGCCGAATGATCTGATAAGTCCTTTATTTCCTAGATTTACGCATACGTGTGCAAAGGGGGAACATGGCCTCTTCAGGGTGAAGGGGGTCATAGGGGTCCCGCCTCTCCAGGGTGAAGGGGGTATGAGGGCCGCTGGGAGGGGGGGGGGGGAGCGGCCGCGGCTGTGGAGGTGCGTCGACCGGGGGGGGGGGGGCGATGTTCGTCATCATTGCTTCTCATGTTCTTTTCATTCACATGCATCAGGTAAAATTGTTGCCAAACCGGGTTAAAGTCGAATATTGGGTTTTACCCTCTGAAATTCGAAGAAGAAAAACTGGAATAAGTGAGACTAAGAAATCAACATTTTAAGCAAAATTATAAAACTATCGGCATTATTAAAATCAAATTTAGTGACTTATTATGATTGTCAAAACTTACTTGCAGGCTCATGAGAAGTAAATCGGAAATTTGCCGCCTATTGTTCACTTCTAGAGAACGATGAAAAGGCCTGGAGAAAAATTTACGTGTGAAGCCTTTGTGTACATACGTCAATGAAGTTATTACTCACATATTTGCTGAAATAGTAAATGAAATAATAAATGAACTTTGATGATCGGTGCGCAGTTGAATTGCATTCTTTTTGAGAGGTATAAATTTTCTAAGCAGATGGCGGAATCCGTGGAAAGTCATTGAATGATTCCTTGAAGAGTCATTGTTCTAACTTTTGATATTATTTCTAAACTCCGAAAGAGATCGTAACATTTGCGTAGAAAAGCAGGTGTAATAGAGGCACCTATTACATCCAAGACTTTGTGTAATCAAGGTTAGTCTTACTGTCAAAATCCTATAGCTACGAGGATCGTGGAATTCTACAATCCGCCTACTTAGACGATGATAAGGACGAGGAAGGACAGCCAGAGATGCATTTTTCTACGTTGGAGCACTATACAAGAGGAGAAGGACAATCGTCTATGATCACTGCGTGATTATTCTGAAAAAAATTTTGTTTTACATCGAAGAAAATTGAAAAATATAAAAGATCTTAGAAGTAGAACTCAGTCATAATTAGCCTACTCTAGTTTAGAAGTCTACTTTCCATCCGCTTTCAGAAAACATACAGCTTGCCAGGAAAAAGAGGGGTTTTTCCTGCTAAATAGAAATAGTTTTAGTCATTTTTTCAAAATTGTAGAATTTTTCTATAAAAAATTGTAGATTTTTGATATGAGAAGATAAGAGAGTCTCTAGCCATATATTGAATTACTCTTGTTTAAAGCTTCCAGAAAATGTATAGCTTACCAAGGAAGAAAGGATTTTCCTGTACTGTGAAGGTGGTCGCAATTGTTTTTCGAAAATTAAGGAAATTTTTTTATAAAAATTCATAACTCTACTATACGAAAAGCTAGAAGAGTGCTTTGCACTCTATTGGAATCCCCTCGTCGTCCGCTTTCAGGAAATATATAGTTTGCCAGGAAAATAGAGGATTTTCCTATCGGGTGAAAGGGGTCGCAGTCTATTTTCCGGAATTAAACCAATTTTTAACTTTAATAAATCATAACAATTTTATATGAGAAGCTGGGAGAGTGATTATGTGTTTATTAAATTCCTCTCGTCGTCCGCTTTCAGAAAATATATAGGTCGTAGGGAGAGGGATGCTAAAAGTATCTGGTGAAAGGGGGAGGAACATGGTATAATGGGCATGTTCCTTTAGCTCCTTAAAACGACGCTTTTTGAGTACAGAAAGGAAGATTTCCATTATACCATGTTCCTCCCCCTTTCACCAGATACTTTTAGCATCCCTCTCCCTACGACCTATATATTTTCTGAAAGCGGACGACGAGAGGAATTTAATAAACACCTAATCACTCTCCCAGCTTCTCATATAAAATTGTTATGATTTATTAAAGTTAAAAATTGGTTTAATTCCGGAAAATAGACTGCGACCCCTTTCACCCGATAGGAAAATCCTCTATTTTCCTGGCAAACTATATATTTCCTGAAAGCGGACGACGAGGGGATTCCAATAGATTGCAAAGCACTCTTCTAGCTTTTCGTATAGTAGAGTTATGAATTTTTATAAAAAAATTTCCTTAATTTTCGAAAAACAATTGCGACCACCTTCACAGTACAGGAAAATCCTTTCTTCCTTGGCAAGCTATACATTTTCTGGAAGCTTTAAACAAGAGTAATTCAATATATGGCTAGAGACTCTCTTATCTTCTCATATCAAAAATCTACAATTTTTTATAGAAAAATTCTACAATTTTGAAAAAATGACTAAAACTATTTCTATTTAGCAGGAAAAACCCCTCTTTTTCCTGGCAAGCTGTATGTTTTCTGAAAGCGGATGGAAAGTAGACTTCTAAACTAGAGTAGGCTAATTATGACTGAGTTCTACTTCTAAGATCTTTTATATTTTTCAATTTTCTTCGATGTAAAACAAAATTTTTTTCAGAATAATCACGCAGTGATCATAGACGATTGTCCTTCTCCTCTTGTATAGTGCTCCAACGTAGAAAAATGCATCTCTGGCTGTCCTTCCTCGTCCTTATCATCGTCTAAGTAGGCGGATTGTAGAATTCCACGATCCTCGTAGCTATAGGATTTTGACAGTAAGACTAACCTTGATTACACAAAGTCTTGGATGTAATAGGTGCCTCTATTACACCTGCTTTTCTACGCAAATGTTACGATCTCTTTCGGAGTTTAGAAATAATATTAAAAGTTAGAACAATGACTCTTCAAGGAATCATTCAAGGACTTTCCACGGATTCCGCCATCTGCTTAGAAAATTTATACCTCTCAAAAAGAATGCAATTCAACTGCGCACCGATCATCAAAGTTCATTTATTATTTCATTTACTATTTCAGCAAATATGTGAGTAATAACTTCATTGACGTATGTACACAAAGGCTTCACACGTAAATTTTTCTCCAGGCTTTTTCATCGTTCTCTAGAAGTGAACAATAGGCGACAAATTTCCGATTTACTTCTCATGAGCCTGCAAGTAAGTTTTGAAAATCATAATAAGTCACTAAATTTGATTTTAATAATACCGATAGTTTTATAATTTTGCTTAAAATGTTGATTTCTTAGTCTCACTTTTTCCAGTTCCTCATCGGCCGTGGGTGAAGGGGGGTCAGCTGGGTTCCGGCCCTGGGGTGAAGGGGGTAGGAACACATTATCGCCTTTTCACATGTATGGATTTACGTAAACGAATCAATAGATCGAATCGATAGAAGGACCCAGCGAATGTCGGAAAAATTAGCCTATCTGCTGCGCCGTGTCTCATTTATAGGAAAACAAAATTCAGCCTCTTTGGTGTACTTACGAAGGAATCTATAAGACACAAACCGATTAACAAACAAAGGTACAGTGTTTGAGTTTCATATATACGGGGTGTCCCAAAAATGTGCCTACTGTTTGATTGTAAATAACTCTCTTGTAATGAAGTGTTTTGAGAAGCTTTAGGAACCACTTTGTAGACCGTGGTTGAACTTAGATTTGCAGTATGATGCGAATCATCTATAGCTCTTCATTACCGTAGAATTACCGTACGAACATCGACAAGGATTTTAGGCCATTGGATGCTATACTCTACCTCGGAACAAAACCAAACAAGCCAAGAACTCTTACACTACGGTAATGGAAGCCGCTGATTTCGAATTTGAAGTTCCCATCTTACTGTGATGTTTCTTTCCAAGGTTATTCCGTGTAAGTCGCCATAACTGATTTTTCAGCATTTGCCAGAGATGTGGTTACACCGTCAAAAAAGCTGAAAACACTCGTAAGAAGTTGTTAAATGGGAGCAGCACGCGCTAAAACCCTAGTACACAATTTTTCAGATTTTTTGAAAAAAAATTTTAGGTGGTATATGGTGGTATATTTCACAGTGGTCCCATATGCTGGAGGTTCTTACCGTAATCCTGCAGTAATGAAGAACGATCAATGACTCAATGACTCGCCCCATACTATAAATCTAAGTTTGACCTCGCTTTACAAAATGGTACCTAAAGCTTCTCGAAACACTTCATTACAAGAGAGTTATTAACAATCAATCAGTGCGCACATTTTTTGGGACACCCTGTATACTAGCCGACATCCCCGGCCCAACCCGGAGAGTGGTAAAACCCGCCTAGCATGGTTATCAAAGAGGTTTGTAACTCACATTTCGTTCCTTTCTCTCTTCATTCTTGATTCTCGTAACCCTTTCCTTGTTCATTGCTGCTTCTGCTTCTGTTGCATTTCAGCGGTCGTGAAACTCGCAATAATTGTCTTCCTTCTTGACCGCCTCGCTTCATGACACCGCATCCTCCTCACCGCAAAATGCAAATGATCTTTACCGCCCCTCACTACGTAACTTGAAGAATTGAATGATGTGCTTTCATTTTCCTAAATGTTCGTAAACAAATCAATAAATCGATAGAAAGACACAGCGAATGGTCGCGAAAAGTAGCCTATTTTTTGCGCCGTGTCTCATTTATGGGGAAACAAAATTCAGCGCCTTAACGGAGTTTTGGGTTGGTGACAGCCTGAGAAATCGCGCCTCTTGACCGTCTCCCTTGCGCAGCGTCCTGCCGAAGCAAATAATTGTTTGGTCTGGCGCCTGCCACTACGCCACGGTAGTTTTGTTTCCGCAATCGCGGATTAGCTGCGTTCGCGCGTCAGTTATTCGAATTACTGTGAATTACTTATGGTTATTCTGCTGCGAACGCTAAGGAGTTTGCGGAACAAAAACAAATGTATAGCAAGATATCTCAGTTCACACAGGATTGGAGTGGACGTTATCGTCATCGGTATGTGTTTTCAATCAGCAGCAGTTGTAGAGTACTCAATATGCTACAATCCAAGTATCATTCGACTTCCAAGTGTAGTTTTGGTTTTTGCACTTCAGCGATTAACTGATTCGTTCCTGCAGCAGTACTAATCAGGAAGGGTTGACTGGTCTGGGCTGCGTTCCGATGGGCTTCATCATTGAGGAAGATAAATACAGCATTTGCAGGAGGAGGTCATGCCGGATGCGAAAGTGCTGCTGCTGCAGCTAGATGTGGAGCACAAGCAATACTTCTTACTCATAACGTCAATACGATCGGCGAAATGAGCTGCAATCCTAGCTTTGGTGGAATTGGCAAAGGTAAATGGCGATTCCCTTCATAAGGGTGCATATATACTGATCCGGAAGTTTTGGAACACTTAGCAGAGTGCTCATTTAGAGCGCTGTGCTGGAACTGTTCCCGGACTCCGCGAACAGTATGTACGCAACCTAAGCGAAAATACTGCTTATTCGTTACTCTTGATGCGGAAGTCTTTGAGGTCATCTCATTCGCGAAATTGATGCCCTTGATGGTGTATGCGGAAGGATATGCGACAAATCAGCAATAACTTACCAAGGTAAGCATAAAAAAGTTCATCTTTATGCTTTTTGTTTGTTACTCTGTGCTTCAAATTTCTTCTATGGAATATTGTCCATTAGTTTGCTTCTCTTCAAAGTCTACTGTCGGGCGAAGGCGCAAAACCTAAAAGTGCAAAAACGGTTGTATTAATCGTAGCGAGCATATTGCAAGTTTATTATATTGCATATCGCATCTATCGTATCTACATTGTTGTGAAGGTTTCACAACGGTGTAGAAACGCACGTTTAGCTGTCGATTGCTCTTGCGCCTCGCCTGGCACTAGATTTCATGAACGCATATGCGTGCATGGATATGGTATTGAAACTATACACGATTTATGCCACGCAAAGACTGGGCGCCGTTGCGTCCGGTCAAGATAGTTCGTGCATGGAAGAGAGATCAGATGGTAAGAGAAACGAAAGAGCGCTCCATCAGAGAGACGTCGTCATGTCCGCAGTCTTTGCGTGCTATGAATCTCCTATATGTTATGAATAAAGAAGGAAAATGGCAGAGGACGCGTTCACGAATGCGGCGCAAGGCTTGAGCGGGGAACGGCGAGAACTGAATTGCTGGTGTAAGACGCTCTCATTGAGGGATGAATTTCAAGAGGCACGATTTATACTTCCGGGTGGAAACCGCTTAGTGCATTTTTGGTATATAACAACATTATAAACCTCTTTCAGATTTGTGGGGTAATATGTAAGGTCGCTGCGTAGGCTGTTCAGTTTTATTACTTTGAAATAGATTCAAGACATGAATGCTGGAGATCAAAAACGCTTGAAAATGCATCTGATCTATCTCCTGATTGTTTCGTCAATTTTCACCAATAACAGCTAAACTTATAATTAGCTAGTGGTAATTTTAGATAGCTAGTAAGCTGGAAAACTTTGTTCAGTACTTTTGAAAGACTTGCGTAGCTCCAAATTGGGCTGTTGAATTGGTGACATTCGAAGAAAGCGTGCCTCTTGACTGTCTCCCCTCACTGACCAGCAAGGCTTACAGCACTGACCTCCCACATCCATTCGCTCGATTGTTACTTGCTTCGCAATTCTCTGCGCGTTCGCATGAATATTTGAGGAAACTCAAATCAACGAGGTAATTTCGTATAAGGAGCGCACAAAAAACACCGGAGTTGATATCAAGTTGTAAATCAACTCGAAATTTGCGATCTGTGCAAATAGCATTTTGGATTCTTTTTAGTTTTACGACCGTAGCTTCTCTTCAGAAGGTTGCAGGAGCGAAGTACCAACGAAATTATGCATCTTTCAAAACTTCTTACTTTCATTTTCGATCACTTCTGTTGCTTTGATGTGGAAGTGCAATTTGTACTCCTTGAATTTTCCATTCAGCTTTGAATTCCGGCCAGGGTCCAGCCGTCCTTGGTCTTCGTGCGCAAATCGACAGAAAGCTTTACAAGGCTCACATGCAGAAGGTGAGTCTTGTTCTAAGACGGAACGGTACGCATTACTTTATGGACTGAGACTCAGAGTTTGAAAATCATTGAATCAACATTCTTTCATGCAACTCAACCTCACCTTCTTTTTGACTGTTAAGGAGCTCTTTTCCACAGCGAATTTGAACATCGTTTGTGGAAGCGTCCAAGCTCTTGCCACTGAAGTGGTTGATGGCGGACTACAGATCAAGGGGGTAATTTTAGAAGATGGCAAGACTCTTAAGTAAGTTTTTCTTTTCAATTCTTGGTCTTCATTGGTTCAATTTAAGCTCTTGCAGGGCTGCATCGGTTGTTATTGCTACTGGCACATTTTTGGGTGGAGAAATTTTCTTAGGCAAACAGCGATGGCCAGCGGGAAGAATTGGAGAGAAAGTCTGTGATTTGTATAGTTTATGTAAATCCTCATTCACTTTTCAGAGCGCCATGGGCTTGTCTGAATCTTTCCGCGAATTAGGATTCGTTCTGGGTCGTCTTCGAACTGGAACTCCACCACGATTGATCAAGGTAAATGAACAAATCAGTTATAAGCGTCAGATGCTTATACCTTCAGAATACCATAGACTTTTCAAAGTTCAAGCTCATGCCGCCTGACGACAAACCCATACCATTTTCGTTCATGACTGATCATGTTTGGCTTCCGCCTAACGAACAAGCAAGTTTTAAGCATTATACCGATCTTTTCATAATTGCTGTGCTTCCAGCTTCCTACATATCTTGGACAGACAAATGATTTGGTTAGAGACATAGTGGAAGCAAACTTAGCTGATAATGAGCACATCAAAGCTGATGCATTAGGGCCTCGCTACTGCCCTTCACTGGAATCGAAGATTATACGATTCCGCAACCTTCATCATAGGGTTAGTAATCAGCCTTCTTTTATCACTTCTGCATGATCTTTTGCAAACTTTTCAGGTATTTTTAGAGCATGAGGGCCTTGACTCCGATTTGATATATCCACAAAGTATGTCTATGACGTTTTCACCAGAGATTCAGTTGAAGATTATGAGAGCCATTGAAGGTTTGGAAAAGGTATAGTAGCTTTTTTGTCTGTTAGACCTTGGGCGTACCTTGCGCGACTTCAGTCGCCACGCGATTTGGCAGTCTGCATAATGCCTCCATATCACCACTACTCTGACAATTGCATCCGAAAGTTCGCGGCCTAAAAGCGTGTTACATGGCGTGCCGCGGCCCTTAGAATTTCAGCCGCGCACGCCGCGGCCCGTGTAAATTTTACCGGGAACGCCGCGGCCAAAGTTGAAATCGGGAAGAGATTACCGGGAGAGCCGCGGCCCAATCACCTCACTCGGCGAGCCGGCGGGTTTTGACAAAGGCCGGACTTCTTACACGCTGTAGGCTAAGGCGCAACCCGCGTGAGGTACGCCGCGGTGATGGGGCCAACCTAAGTGTTTGCGAGCCTGCGTAATCGTTTCTCTCGTTTTATCCTGTCTGACAGCTAAGTTTTTATGCTTACAAAACAGACTTCAGCAGTCGAATCAGTGTTATCGACGACATTTGATGATGTTGACAGATGAGCTAACAAGTTGCTTAATCTGCACTCAAGTCATTGTCATGAAAGAAGGGCCAAAAGATTTTTCACTCTCCTCACAAGCATGCTAATCGGGTCAATTATCGGGCGCTTACAGGAAGCGCCGCGGTCACTTATCAGGTCCAATATCGGTTTATACCGGGCAGCTCGCGGCATGGATGATTGGTGGCCGAGCAAGCACCCGCGAACTTCCCGATGCAGTTGTCTGAGTAGTAGAGTTCAAATGGAGGTATGTAGGACACTCTGAAGTCGATGAAATGCCCCACATCCTTGCTTTCAAAATGTGTTCAAGCAGAGTTGTAAAACAATGGAACATTGCCAGCTTGCGTGGCGATTGAAATCCTCGAGATATGCCCAAGGCCTTAGAAAGTAATTTGACTGAGATTCAAATTCTTTAGGTGGAAATTGCTCAACCCGGATATGGCGTCCAGTATGATTTTGTCGATCCAAAACAAGTACTCCCTACATTGGAAACGAAGAAGGTGAAGGGGCTTTTTCTAGCTGGACAGATCAATGGAACAACCGGGTACGAAGAAGCCGCTGCGCAGGGTGAGTATATCAATGAGTTGACAGAATTTTTTTTGGGGTAGTGACCAGCCACATGCGGAAGTTTAATCCTAGTCATGTTACTGCTAGGGGTGCAGGGTGCTAGGGTAAAGCGGATTGACACAATGAATGCCACGAAAAGAAGTGCTTATAATTATCTTTGACTTCAGGTGTCATTGCCGGTATAAATGCTGCAGCTCATGCACATGGAAGGGAAGGAATGGTGATTCGCCGCAGCCAAGGTAGGTAGCGCCTTAATATAATGTCACTAACCATGCCAATTGTTTCACATGATTGAATTTGCTAGGGTATATCGGCGTTCTTATTGATGATTTGACGAGTTTGGGTACGAATGAACCTTACAGGATGTTTACGTCAAGAGCTGAGCACCGCTTACATCTTAGGTAAGAAGAATACCATTACCTTTCCTTCTAACTATTCCGGTCTCTAAATCAACTCACAAAATCTTAGTGATGATTGAAATAAAAACTTCGGCTCGAGAAATCTTGTTTTCGGCTAGAATGGCTTTGAATGGTAGAGGTCTTTGAGAGCAGTGTCTGCGCGAACTGTCGTTCATTTCCTGCGCTTATGCCGCTTATGTGCCTTGTCATGCTGAACCCTTTTACGTGCTTCGAAGTACGTATCGCGGTACTGCGCGATGGTAGGGAACGCAAGAATCAGGAAATTAAAGGCAAAATCTTGAAGATGCTGAATCTAGAGAGTTTTTCTACCTAGAAGGAGAACGGGTGAGTTTAGCTGAGGCAAGTGGAAGTGATTGACCCGAAACTTCTACAAGTGGAGAATATATGAGGTTGTGCTGGCGCAGACCTTGGTCTTGGAGGCAGCTTCCAGGGAAATCTGGACATATGGAGGATCTCACGGGGATAGTAATTTTGGAGCCTACTAAGCCACTGCCCAACCAGCAGGTTGGGTAGTGCTTTAACGGCTGAAATATTTCCCTCGAAACTGGACCCCAGGATCGTATTCGCATGGATTCATGGCACGATCCATCAGTTTCGCGTGGGTACTCGCGCGAAACTGATGTGTTGTGCCATTACTCCAGGCGAATATGATCGTGGGTCCAGTTTGGACGCGTATATCTCAGCCTTTAGCCAGTCACCTGCGCTGCCGTTTGGGCAGTGCCTTAGTTAGGGCCCCGAAATCACTTTACACGTAAAATCCCCATGGGTTCAGTTTTGCCTGGACGCTGCCTTCAAGTCTTAGTATGCATCAAGCTTCTGGGCGACATCCGTAGGCTTCGATTCAGACGTCACAAGACGCCTAGAGTTGGGCATCAGAATTATTAGGTGAGGAGATATGCAATAGAATTGCTTTGACATTTTGCAAAATTACTACAGATCATTAAGAATTTGTGCGAACTTGCCTTCAAGCACCACCTGAGGCAAGGTGATGGCTAAAAGTGGAGATTCGGGAGTTGTGTTTTGGTTAGTAATCGGTGTTCGGCACCAGTTACCCTTTTTTTGAGGAGTTACGAGGTGACTGCGGTCTGGATGTCATGTCTCAAAGAAAGCCTATAAATACTCAGATAGCTTAACGCAACTTTAAAGGCACCGTCCACCCTAAGTTAGGGGTCTTGAGTTCTTGGCGGTCTATAATAGTAAGATCCTCCCAGGCAATGCCCAAGTTGCGGCGCAAAATGTCACTTCGGAAGCGAGAGAATCAATTCGGAATAGCGAAGATGCATGAGTACTCCAAGTTGGCACCGCCCCCTCGTAATGCCCGCCCATCAGTGTGCGCCCAGCCAACACCATTTCGGAAAGCCGGCCTGTGGGTTTTCCGGAACGAGAATTGTTGGGATTTCCGTGGATTCTCAACTTCATATTCGGAATCAGGGATATGAGAAGGCCCGGAACGATCAAAACATGGAGTCGAGAATCTGGGTGGACGGTGTCTTTGAAGCAGCCATTATATTTCATGCATGTGAACGTTTTGAATTTGGAAGCTTTCTGGAACCGCTCTCGTCTTGGTTTTTTTTCGCTAGTACAGTTTTTTAGGCCTGATAATGCTGACATGAGGTTGACGGAGATTGGACGTCGGTGGAACGCAGTTGGAGACAATAGATGGGCACGCTTCCAAGAGGAAAAGAAAAGCTTTGAAGGCATGTCAGATGCGTTGAAGAAAATAAGTATGAGCTTGAAGAAATGGATTTCGATCATTCCATCAATACAGACGAAGAATGTATATAAAGGTAAGCTAATGCTACTCAGTCATTTGTTCCTTCCCTTATCTTTTCTATTTTCGGAACATGCCTTTTTGTGTCAAATTCGTGCTCGTTAAGTTTTATCTGCATACGAGTTGCTTTATCGTTACAACGTTCCGCTCAAATCCTTGCTAGAAGCGTTTCCTGATCGCTTGATACATCTCAACGTTGGAGATGAGGAGCGTTTGGAGAATCGCCTCAAATGCGAGGCCAGCTATGAGGGTGCTCGAGAGCGAATGAAGGCTAAGGTGACATCGTTTGTAATTCACTACGGCTTATCAAGTGCTCAATCGCTTTAGATGGACGAGATCGATAGGGAAGCCAGCAGTTTGATTCCCGAAAATCTTGATTATGGCAGTTTGGCAGGCCTTAGTGTGGAATGTCGTGAGAAACTGGACCGAGCGCGGCCTCTGAATTTAGCTGCAGCATCAAGGTAAATCATGAAACTCCTAGTGGGCATTTCCGATATCAATCATTTTTAGAATCCCAGGTGTGAAACCAGATGCTATCATAACCCTTCTTCGTTACGTGAAGCGACCAACCGTTGTATCTCAATCAACGTAGTGTTCTCATTTTCATTTGTTGTGATATTTGTTAGATACCTCCTACGGGTCTGTAATCAAAGTGCCTTTGTTTTTATTCACAATCCATATTTTGACTCAGGTTCATATCCGAACTGGTCACGGTGTAAGCCAAAGCTAATAAATGCAGAATGCCTTACATTGAAATCATTACAATATTACTCAACATGAACGCCAGCCGAATATGCTCACTTGTGGGAAAGAGGTTTTATTTGTCAGTGAAGCAAAGTTGGTGAGCTCGTAGCTAATTTCTTTACTGCACTACTGACCACGAATAAATAGGCTCGTGACCTGAAGGCAGTTTGGATTTAATTTCTGCAGTTCATTGATCTAGCTTATGTTAGCTTTGAACTGTCAGGGTGCCTTCATACCGCGCCGGCAGCCGCTGCTAGCCGCCTGTAGCCGCCTTTGCGCACTATTTCAGTATTACCAGGTCTTTTCAAAACGTTGATAGATTATGCTATTTGTAATTATCATGCTAGATAACGCCACCAAACCAAGTTTGAGCAAGATTTTTGGTTTTGATATTGGGGCTCGGATACTGCAAAGTGCGCAAAAGCGGCTAGCGGCGGCTGCCGGCACGGTATGAAGGCACTCCCAGAGGGATGGTTGTCCCAGGAGTGCATACATCCGTTATTAGCATAGGTGACAAAAGTGAAGAAATAGCAGTGGTTGATAAATAATTCTGGTTGTTTTGGCTTTTCGTAAAAATTTCAAAGATTTTTACACATCTCTTTTTGTTTGCCTAACGTTTAGTATCTCTGGCAAATTATGTCATACTTTAGACAGACTTTTGTTGGGGAAGATTCTATCAGTGAGAATCAGAAATTACGCTTTGTTTGAGTGGAAATAAGTCTGCAACAGATCGCAGTTATTTGTTGTTTGCTAACAAAAACTCGTATCTAGCTAACAAATCACTCTCTGCACATCATGCATGAAAACAAAACTTAGCAGGGAATGCTCAGAACTCAACCCAGCCAAACCAAACATGCTGTATCTCATCGGACTCATCTTGAAACGCTGATCACAAATATATGTTTATCTTCTGCCAAGTGACTATCTGGGAGGAGTTATGAGCGTTTGAATGTGCAGTTTGTCAGGTTTTCTGTGGAGCATGTTCCACGAAATGGGTCTCAAAAGCACTATTTAGGTTTTTGGTGAATGTGCTTTCCTCCTTGTAATTAATGTAACCATAGCCATCAAATCCGCGCCATCTAGCTAATTTTCAAGGAAATACATTAGTCGAAACTTGAAAAATTTCCCATATTTGAACGCTCATAACTTCTTTCAGATAGTCGCTTGGCAGGTTGGAAACATATATTTGGAATCAGCGTTTTAGGCGAGTCCGATGATATACAGCTTGTTTGGAATAGCTGGATCAAGTGCTGACCATTTCCTGCTCTGAAGTTAAGGAAGTATTTAAAAATCTGGTTATCTTAAGACAGAACAGACCGTCTGTTCAATGGTAGTAGAAAATGCTGAGTAGTGGGCATGCGGTAGTAGAAGCTTGAAACTGCCTCCTCATAGAGAAGCCATCCTAAATTAGGGTAAAGGATCTACAATCTTCCGTGTAAGCATGTGCCAAACACTAACATATAGTCAAGATGCTACTACAAAACTACCAATTCCTATCAGATCGTCTTCAATTTGTATAGTTCTCATAAACCGACGAGATGACAAAATTCTGTTGAAATTAAGCCCATAACGTTTGTTGCACACAACTTACTGCGACCTATTTTGATCCCAAAAAGATTTTGAACAGCGCATGAGTTCGCCTTCAGATTCGAAGTAGTCCCATTCATATGGTTTGGAGAACGAATGAATTCTGGTGGGGCGAGGTCTGAGGAGTACACTTTTTACTAATATATATTTACCGGTCAAGTTTTGCACAACAGATTTGATGACATTCACCGTAAGGGGCCATGTGCCTAACAGAATAGCCCACTGAATATGTTTTTGAAGCCTTTCCGTGGTGGGGATACTTCAGACGGTGCAATTAAGCAGTACGGGGGACCGTTTCTTGTCTGGCATTTTAGTGCAAAAATTTTTTTTGGCCTAACAAAAGGTCTTGTTCTGGGAACAACCTGTTTCATCCTTAGTTTTTAACCATCTATTAGGTTGTTTCAAAAGCAAACTCGTTTTCTAGATAAAACGAGCTGTTTTTGTTTTCTTTACGGACTTAAGGTATCATTCGATAGAGCGAAGCAAGCTCCGGTTTGCAAATTCAAAAAAAGTAAAAGTAGCCCGAAAAAGCAAAAATGTCATTTTTTCGGTTTTTATATTAAGCTTGCTATTTCTCGATCACCAGAGTGTGTACAGAGGTAAAATTTCAAGGTTATACCTAACATGGCTTGTAGTACACAACGACATATGTGGGAGGGGCTGAGGACGGAGTTGCCATTCTTGGACTGTCTATTTCTCGCTTTCTATGCGCGGAAAAAATCCAGTAGGCATATTTGAGTACTAATATGCGTCTGATATATAGTAATCAAGCTGAAGATCAATAGAAATTTTCTTAGCTGAAATTCAATTTTCAGGTGATAAGATTTTCTCGATTTTGGCTCTGAACTTCACCTGGGTTAAGACTTGGGCGGACCTTTTACCAGTCATTGTGTTGAGCTTGCTTCCCTCTCGAATTTACCCAGTCTGCTAGGAAAACAAGGACATGTGATTTATCTAGAAAAGAAAAGTTTACTTTTCGGACAACCTAATAGTTCTTTTTTGTCTCGTATTGACGTGCAAACGTCATTTTCATGACCGGCAAACAGAAAAATGCAAAAACGCATCTTTTCAAGAAAAAATGGGCAGATAAAATAAACAATGCCTCTCTTTGTTTTTCGAGGGCTCCATTCCTTGGAAGATGGAAATAGGAGTAGATGAGCTTTCCATCAAAAGTGATAAGTTTGTTCCAAAGACATTATCACCTCTTGTGAAGATAGACACATCTTGCCTCTCAAGCGCTCTTCAAGGAAATGAGAAAGAATGAAAACTCTACGAACTTATGAGACGACGGTGTTTACCGCCACCAGCTCTTGATTTCTACGGATTGCCTCGCTATTGTCACCGTTCTGAAGGTTATGTTTTTGCAAAATTAAGAGCACTAGACGGACTCTCGTTCCGCTGCTCTAGCGCTGCATCATATTACGCTTCACGATTCTTGAGCTGAAGTTTTTTTTGTTCGGCAGAGACGAAGTGCTTTCCTATTTTCATGAATTATTCGTAAAAGCCTGTGAATCTTGCTGAGTGGGCGCTTTTGACAAAACCCGGATCAGATTTCTGCCATGGCAACTACCGTATTTATACAAACTGTGAACATGTAAATACACATATTGCACCAAGAAATCCAGGTTACCGTTGTTTACTTCCGTCTGATTGATAGTCCATATCTCATAGATCACTCGGATTAACTTAGCGATTCAAGAAGAACTTGCGCTTTGTACTCATGAAATTAAGGTAATCGTATAAGCTTAATCCAGCGTGTGAAATGTATGAGCTCTATGGCTAATGTAGGAAATGGATTTAAAAAAGAATGAATTTCGATTTTTCCTCTGCCTTCAGAAAGAGTGAGGATGGGCTGATCTGCGCCTGCGTGCTGTTGGCAGCTGGGGGCGGCAGAGCCTATCATTATTCTTCACACCCTGTTCAGATCCTATGTGATGAAAAAATTGCAATTTTTAAAATATTCATATTAGGTTGTCCCATAAGTCTTTTCATATTCGGACCTTCAATTCGATATTCCACAAGAACTAGAGCACTTATTGTTAATAGGCTGCAAGTTTGTGACAGTAATTCTGAGTGGATAATCTATGTAATCACCTATTTGCGGGGAACACATGATTGATACAGGCAAAGTTTGAAAGTTGAGCGTATTATTTTCTTCTTAGTTTTCAGCCATCAGAAAAATGCAGCAAGTGCATTTATAAATACCGATGAGGAGAGTGTGTGCATGAGAAAGTGGGGAATTTGCAGAGTTTTTTTGAAGTGAGTTATGATGATTTTCGTTTTTACGGAAATTCGGAAATTTTTTATTTTGGCTTGGAACTTATTGCGGATTGAACTTGATGCGAACTTTTTAGCGTAGTCTTGTAGAGCTTGCTTTGATCTGTTCTGTCGAATGGTGCCCAGCATTCTATCAGAATTTCAAAAAGAACTGATTTATGTTGCTGAAATTCAGATATGAAAAGACTTTATGACACCTAATAGAATACTCTTTTCTGAAGGTCTGCCCGAAATAGGACCGAATTGATGGAACATTATTAACATTGTCGCGAAGCGTAAAAAGCGGAAAAAAGTCAAAATCTGGATTGTGCAAAACTCATCACGCTTCATTTTGTACTATCTTGCAGCCCTGTGGACAACTAGCTTGTTTAGTGTTCGAATTGAGATCGCTGAGCGGTGCATCACTAAAGCTCTTCTCAGCTTCATGCTTTTTTATTATGCTGTTATTGTAAGCTACATCACACATTGTTAGATCATTGTTCTGCTTTCCCTTGCTTGAGATTATTGAAAACTTCGCTCAGCATTTTGTTGCACATTGCTGCGTACGGATTCAGAGCTACCACCTGCATCTTTGCGAATGGCGATCCCATGTCGGCAGCTTTTTGAAAATCTGCCTGTAACAATTTGCACTCAGGAATTGGGAGGAGAAGAGGGCTTATAAAATCTGATTGTTTGTTTCACCATGGCAAGTTCATCTTCACCGTGTAGCCTGCGTATCATCGCACGTTGTACAAAGGCTTGGCATGCACTTTTACCAATGCCTTTACTCAAGGTAATGGCTTGTTCCAGATAGAGTAAGGCTTCTATATAGAAAAAAGAGTATTTTTAACGCAATTTCAACAGCAAGTTCGTACCATCATGTTTTCCAGCAAGTCGTAATGCTTGAGCTCGATTATTGAATGCAGACGGGTTCACCGAACACTTCTCGATCGCTTCATCGAATTTTCGCAAAGCTCCTTCTAAGTCGCCTCCCTCTGCCAACTCGACCCCTTCTTTCTCCAGTTTTCGTGATTCCTCTATTCCTTTTGCCGTGATTGGTTCTGAAGCAAATTCCAATCTTTTAGAACTGTAGTAAATTTAATTACTTTATACTTTATCCCAATGCAGAATTTGTTCCGTTATCCGTATCATGAGCGTAAACAGACATTGTAGAGTTTCAAAAAATGTTACTTCAAGATTCGGGATTAAAGCTTGAGGGACATTATCTGGGGAAGGAATCTGACAAACAAGGATTGGACTACAGAAGTTTTTACGAAATAATTTTGTCGTGACTTCCGAAGAATTCTGAACCCTTCTCAACCTTTGCTGGGGAGGCTCCCAAAACGTTTATATTAGGTCCTGAAAGTTTCTTCGGTTTTTTGACCTACAAAACACGTGAAGGGGGACGAGTGGCGAACTGATATGAGGCGCCGCTATGCCCAGATCGGACGCAGGTTCGATTCCCGCCCCTGGGTCAAGAAGCAAACAAGCGTTTACGATCCGAATTAAGAGATATCGATTTCTCTTTACAGCCTGGGCGGGTTAGAAAGGCTTGAATCACAATGATTTCAACCTCAGAGACTTCAGGACCGATAAAAAAACTTGTTTTAGAGGGTAGAGAAGCTGCAAATGACAACCTAGTTGCTCGCCGTTTGTTCTGTGGTTCTGAGGATGACTAGGCATGAACCTGTTGGCATCGAAAAATGTTGAAATTAAAAAGTCAGCTGGAAATGGAAGTGCCAAAAAATTAGTAATGTTGTGCTTTGCTTATTCTATACCTCTTAACACAGCCCCCAAGACTAAAAAAATGAAATTTCCTAACTTGGGCATGTAGAAGCCATGTATTCGAAATCTCGGCGATGATTCCAGCGTAAAGTTAGTTCGGAAACGTGACCGCTGAAATGAGAAAGAAACGCTGCGCCGAACAATCTCCGAAACGTCTGGCCATCTCCATTCCAGTGTTTTTATGATAGATGGAGAAAGGAAAGAACATTCGGAGCTACCTAATTCAATAATTGCGAGACTTAGACATAGTCTCAAATCATTTTCGACTGAGGTGCGGATACGATGCATACGTACATCATAGATTGATTCGAAATTCTCTGATTAAGTAAATGATGAATGTTTTCAGTGTAAGAATAAACAAATGTCGAAAAATCAGTTTCCAAATATTTTCAAATTTCAGAGTTTGATCGTTTCAGACGAATACCGAAAATTTTCTCTATTTCGGTGATTATTTGATTCTAAAATGACTGAAGATATGGAGATAGTCGAATAAGTGGGTAATCAGAGAGAGAGAGACAAGATAATAGAATGACTTAGAATTCAAACATTTCTATCTATATAGTCAATATTTTAGCAATAATCAAATACCGAATGCTTCCTCTTGTTTTTATCCAAATATCGGAATAATCATTCAAATCGATCTCCCCTGCATCATTGCAAATTTTCATTTACTCAAATGAACGTTAACAAGCAAAAATTCTTTTGGAGAAAGTAATTTGGTTGATATTTCATGAATATTTATCAGATGGAGAAATACTAACTCCAACGTTTTTTTTTCTGCTATGCTCATAATTTCCAAACCTTATCCTGAAGTAAGTGTCTCACTTGCGTGCACTCATTATTTTTACAATGATATTTACACCTACAGAATTTGAATGTACCTCATTGTGATTGATGTTCACCAGCAGAGGGTAAAGCTGTATTGAGGTAAAAGGTAGCGAACACGCAAATCATTGGTTATGCTGTCTCGAGTGAGTGCAACAAAAGCTTAGGATGCAACCAGTCAGTACTTCAAAGATAATATCTGCGTGAGCTTTCATAAATGATACGAGTGGAATGTCACAATAATGTCTTAGCTGCACTTCCTTTGAAGCTAGACAAAGAAAGGAAACTTTTAAGTCCCATAATACTTATGAAAAACATCGGTGTGGGTAGGTCTTCTTGCGCAGATTTCAGCCTTGAAAAGGGCTAGTTTTTTAATTTGGTTGTATTTTTATTTCTTACAAAAGAAGGATACGAAACAAAAAGGGAGGTTATGCGCGGAACTGGTTGAAGAGCGTAAAGAACTGTTTAAGTCACAAACCTTTGAGGAATATGAGATCATGTGGTTTGGTTCAGACTGGGAAAAGACGAACAAGTTTTTACTTTTTCTGCTTTTTTAACTAAATGAGGTTTTATACGAGAGACAAAAATATTATTCCTCAAAATGGTGGAAATCTGTAAATCAAACAACTATGACTTAGGAATTACCCACAACAGTGAGCAAATGCGTAGGAGCATTTTTGTAGAATAGTGAAGACGAAATAATTAAGATTTTTGTGTTGTATACTCACGGCTCATTTCATTTCATTTCTACCAGTAAATCAATGCTCAAAAATTTACCATCTTCGGCAATCCGCACTTCGGCATTACTATTCGGCGTGTCTAGAGGCATCAGTGGATTGAGAATCCGATTTAGCACAGCTCGATCGTTTGCAGTCATTTGCTTGTCGCACATGTTTGGAAGTCTTTTTTTGTAATCTAGAAATATAAAAATTCTATATGACAACAACGAAATCCACTAGCGTTTAACTACAAAGGTGATAGTGAACAGCAATTCTTTGGTGAATTAGAATGTAGAATGTAATTCTTTTAGGAAAGATCGATGGAAAAGTTGGAATAAGCGCATGTCGAAAGGTGACCTTATCACCACATGTGATACGACAGATTGCAAATGACTGGGTCGCGACTTGTGTGCAGATTACTGCGCAATGTTTTATGGGCATTGCATGGTGTTACTACAGACGTTCACTAATGGTTTACCTATCTGCGATGCGCTTCTACGCTTCTTCTTATCTTGGATCCACGAAAAATTGATCAGCATTTTTTGGTGAGAAACTCAATAACGGTCTTCCAGTTGTTGTTTTGTTCTGACATCCTTTGCTTTGAATCTACCATAAGAAACGAATTTTTGATTCGCATACATTTGTGAGTTGTGCCAAAATGAATAAACAACCATAACCTCTAGAAGTTCTTGAGTAGAGAAAATTTCAAAGCTAACTCAAGCGGTTTTAAGTCCTTCTGCCCTTCAAAAAAATCTTGACGCAAGGCGATCGCGCTGTATACAGGAGGAATACACTTAGGACATTCACAAGGGGATCAAAAGCTCTTTTCTTTTTCCTCCTCCAGTTCCTTGAAAAAATATAAATTCCGAGAAGATTTCTAGCATTCTCAGATACTTTGAAACAAGTGAGCACTTTTATGTTTTTTGAAAGCTCTCTGGAAATTATTAGGTTGTCCCAAAAGTAAACTCCATTTTCAATTAACTTCAGCTGTTTTTGTTTTCTTAACAGATTCAAGGTACCATTCGGTAGAGCGCAGCAAGCTCTACAAAAAGACTACCAAAGTTCCACCTAATTCGTAACCTAGGTAAATTTTTAAGCCAAAAATCAAAATTTTTCAGCTACCCTAAAAATCGGATCTCCTTCCAGGAAAGTGCTACGGACTTCCAACTTGGTCTTTATATAGTAGACACATAGTAGTACCCAAAAATGTATTTGGTGGATTTTTTCCGCGGCTCAAAATTGAGAAACAAATAGGGTCCCAAAATGCCAAAATGCCGCTTTTTTCGGGTTTTTTTATGTAAAACTTGGTATTTCTCGATAATAAGAGCACATACAGAGGTAAGGTTCTGAAATTATACTTAGTAAGGCTTATAGTATACAATGACATATGTGGGAGGGGCTGGGGTGGAGTTTGCCGTTTTTGGACAATTTTTATTTCTCGCTTTCTATGCTCGGAAAAAATTCGGTAAAGGCATATTTGTGTACTACTGCATGCCTACTGTATAATGACCAAGTTGGAGGTCTGTAGGATTCTTTGTCGCAGAAATCCAGTTTTCAGGTGACAAAATTTTTTTCGACTTTGGCTCCAAACTTTATATGGAATGCGACTTATACGGACCTTTGCTGGTAGTTTTGTAGAGCTTGATCTGCTCTATCGAATGATACCCTAAATATAGTAGAAAATCAAAAACAGCTTGAGTTATTCAAAAAAGGAGTTTACTTTTGGGACAACCTAATATTTTTCGTACAATTCGAGTCTAGCGTCTCCGCACATCGATAACGAGTGAAGCTCGTGCCATCCTTTTACAATTATTTTGTTTTTTCACTGGTGTTTTTTAATATCAATACTAAAAATTTCTTTTGCTATCGCTATCTGATTTTGTCAAAATCAAAATATGCGGTAGTGCTCTTCAAAGAATGTTGGTCCTTCCTCCTTGCAATGGAGTCTAGAACCTTTTGAAACAGCGTCTTTTGAGCATATTAGTGAAACTGTGATACGCAATAACCTTGTGTTCGAAACTTCTATACCAGCTGGCATTCCGAATCAATCCCGGCAGAGGTAGCAGGATAGTCCGCTATGATCGGGCCTGCAGACAAATTTATCTTTCTTGTAATCCCACGCTCTTCTGCATAAACCGCGCCGTCAGGCTCGGTCATTGTTACCTTTCTATACCGCATAGAGCCTCGCAGTAGAACGGACTTGCTTCCTATCCAAATCACTCAGGTCACCTCCATTCCGATGAACAACACATGAAAACGAGTTTTACCGCCTTTTTTACCTGTTATTACAATTGCTTAGCCTTCATTTTCTAAGATGTAAAACGAATGAATCAAATTGATAGAAAGGTCCAGCAATTGAAACAAAAATCTGCGGGTCGGAAGCCTAGTTGCAAAGCTCCCCTCAATCATTTCACACACAAGGCCAACGATAATGAACAGTCCCCTTGTGCGCAAATACGTAATTTCTGCATTAGATATGTAGAGATTGAACAGGATGTGGACATGTCTACTGAATGATGAGCTCATATGTACTAGTTTGAGAAGGAAAAAGCTACGGTGTTCTGAGCCTTATGCCGAGTTCAGAACCAGTACGATCAAGCGGAAAAAAATGAGACAAATCTAATAAAGAGGATGGAACTGCAACGAATATAAAATTTTTCAGAAGCAGAATGGTGCATAACTTACACAAGAGAAATTTTTGGCGTGCACAAGAGACCTATTTGTAATTCTGTAATCCTATCCTAGACCACTGGTCTGCGAAAACTTTCAAGAATTTTCGCATTTTCTTGCAGCTTGGTTTCCTGACACTTAAAGTGCACCTTTGTTTTACAAGGAAAGGATATTTGGTCGAAGTGGCGTTTTCATACAAAATGCATACCGTTTCATAGGGCATAAAACGCTGATTTCAAACCTGCTTTCGGTATAAGCGCTTCGGGGAGGGGAGTTCTGAGAATTTTTGAAGTGAAAATTTCAACGCGCAAATACATTAAAATCATTCAGAACTGTAGTCTGCGAGCTCAAATGGTCGAATGGCCATGACCACTGCTAGGGCGCTTTATATAGCCAATATCTTCAGTTTGATAAACTTATGCTATTCATTACTCTTTTCAGGTGCCGGAGGAACCTCAATACCTGCTTTTAGTTTAGCTAAACCCTTGGATTTTTGCCTCGAATAATCTCACAACTCCCCTCCCAGAAGCGCTTTGCAGACACCAAAAGCAGATTTGGAATCAGCTTTTCATGCCCTATAAGATGGTAACGTTGCACATGAAAACTCCAATTCGACCAAGTATCCTTCCCTTGTTAGCTCCAGGTCATCGGGGGTGGCCGTAGAAGTGAAGGGGGGGGGGGGGAGGAGGGGAGAGGTAAAAAGCGTTATTCCTTCTACACAGCAACTCTGCAGTGTCTGTACAATTTTGGTGGAAAGTACTAGATTTCCAGGGTATTGTTGGGCGAGCCCCCACCCTCCCCCCACCCCCCTCCCCACCTATTAATCGCCCGAGCCCGACTTGATAGACCGTCATCATCAGTGCAATTCTAGGGATTCGAAAGCGGATTTTCTGCTTTTAGGCAAATTCGAATAAGTCATGCCTGAGAAGGGTGCAGAGGAATAGTAGACATCCAGAAGGTGATTTCGTAAAACTTCTGCCACTGAAAAGGACTTCGTTTTTGGAAAGCCGGAAAGGCAGCTGTGCCGGAATCTGGCTGGACGCTCTTGGCCGAGGATCTAGTAGTTAGCATTACATCATGATAGTCCTTCATGAAATGATATCCAATATTTGTTCCATCCGCTGTCTCTGTTGGCTCTTTATACTTCTATTAGCTTAAGTTAGTACACTGAGTGGATTTGCGATTGAAGTTTGCCTGAAAAACAATCTTACAGCGCTTCTAATTGGCAACTCCGCACAAGTCGTAAACAAGTATGCTTATTGTCATGGGAACATTGTTGCCCATTGTGCTAATCATGAACACTTTTTAACCTTATTTATTAACAGTCAGACCTTGATCTTGTTCAGGTAATTTAGAGAGGAAGTGCAACACTGCCCAAAGAGCAAACTTGATTGTGAGGAGCGGACTTGAGGATTGTGCAAACAGAGTACCTTTTAGTAGTATTATGGTAGTAATTTGGTTGAAAGCTAGTTCTAACTAAGTCCTTATAACACGAGGTGATCAGCAGCTTTACATCGTAGTCAGCGGTGACTAATCGAAATCTACAACGTGGACCTTTTTCACCTGATTTAATCGGCCCTCCAATCATTCTCATGCTTGAACGCCTTTCGCTGCATTTTATCAAATTTGCAGTTAGGTTCCTAGCCTTGCATTTCTCCATAATTTTATTGAAACAGTAAAGTGAGCTTCCCCATGTAACTTTCAGAATAATCTCTCTCACCTCCTACTAACTTGTGAGACCATCACATCATGGTTCCTATGAAAGTGGTCAGAATTATAATACTTTCTCATTTTAAACGATCTAGTGGTTTCTCGTTTACGTTTCATGAAGTGAAGTGCTGATGTCATTACTCTAACTGATAACAAAATAATTGTGGCTCAGTTCGGCTCAAAATGAAACAATTCTAAAACAATCATGGCAGTCTATTACTTATTTGCTTCATGGTTTTGTATGACCGAATGAACTGCGAGTTCGGCAGAAGATGATCTGGTTAGCACTATGTAGTCATGTTTGAACGACAACACATTCATGATGGTTCCGATCAAATTACTACCACTCCTGAATAATTTTAATAGTATTATCTTTAGAAGCAAGAAGTTTCATGTTATGAACTAGGAGTTGCTGCAGCTATGCACAGTATCGCTTGATAACTTCTATCTATTATATTAGGTTGTCCCATAATTATTTACCGTTTTTACTTTAAACATCAGCATTTCTTAAAAACTGAGCACCTTTGAAATTTTCAAGTAGAGATCGTACTCCTGTATGTATGAGTTATATGATCACCTGTGTGGGAGGAGCTCAGTACTTCTAGGGGCGAAGTTTGCTATTTTACACCATTCAATTTTTTCTTTATTTGTAGCCATGGAAAAAATACGAAAATTGTACGATTGCATGCTCGATGTGTCAAGCACATGCTAGGTTGAATATGGAAATTTTTAGAATTTTTGGGGCGGAGATACGACTTTTGACAGTAAAATTCGTTTTTGACTGCTACCAGATTTCAGCTCAAAACTTTAGGTGGATTACGATTTGTG